AACACTACCCCCACCATGGACTGGCAATTAGCATTAATTCCATTCCATCAAAACTGTAAAACTGGTACACAATCTCTAATACTATAGGCCTAAAATGTGAAGAGATAGCTGTGTCCCACCAATTCATCTAACCTGAATATTAGGGTAGGTACTATTAGGCTACACTATTAAATGTCTAAACAGTGAAAAATTTAGCTCAGCACACTGTGAACACATGAGTGTGTGAGGATCCTAGACTTTTGTTTCACTGGGTTTTTGGGTTTTTGTCTGTCTTTGGGTTTTGGTGGGTGTGCCTTTGTTCACTGCAGGTTGGGCGGAGCCGATCAGGGGAGATCGCTGGCAGCTGTGGCTCATCAGCTGTGCCCAGCTTAAATACTGGCGTCTCACAGAAGACCGACGCCAGAGGATTGTGATTGTGATACCTACCACGGGGTACAGTCAGGCCACGAGCTGCTACACCGCGCTGAGCATTTCCAGCCTTCTGATGTTTTTCGAGCTTCAAGTTCATGGTATGTGTTTCTCTGCCCGTCTCCAGTTCTCCTCCTCGGCTCCAGCACTCGGCACACCTCCAAGCTCTCCAGCGTTTTGTCACCCACGGGAATTCACGGACCCCTTCACGAGAGCACCCCCCCACGAGCACCGAACCCTGAGCACAGGACCCCTGCGCACCACCCCGGTTTCCCTCGTCACGGCTCCCTCTCTGCACCGGGAAAAAAACCACAGACCAAGGCACCCTCAGGCACCGGCTCGTCGTGCACCACTCTCGGGACCCCCCTTCCTCGGATCACGACCCCCAAAGACTTCACCCCACCCCCTTCCTTAAATAAATCCTGTTTCCTTTAACCCTTCTCCCCGTCTCCCTTTTCGTTTGGGTCCACCCGCACTATCACTTGAGCACGAGTCGTCACAGAATCCTCTGGTCAAATCATGGACCCAACGAACCCCGGCACCATTGAGGAGGCTCTTAATGCCCGAGGAGAACTGCTTGGAAAGCACGACCAGCTGCTACACGGGATAAGAGTCTACCTCCAGACCCTCTCCTCCCAGGTCCAAGGCTTTTCCTCCCGCTTAGACAATATGGCATCTGCCGGTGCCGAATCATCTCCGGACCTCCCTGTGAGTACTCCTCCCGTTCCTGCTCCCTCTTCTCCACCCCCCGGTGTTACTTTACCCGCGAACCTGCACATAGACTCCCGAGTTTTTTCTTTACATGTTTTTGTTGATTCAGGGGCATCTGACAGCCTTATTGACTCAGATTTTGCAAGGCAGAAAAATGCCCCGCTGGAGCTGCTCGAGACCCCGCGCATAATTTGCGCTTTTAATGGTAGATTATTTGAAAGGGCCACTCACCGCACTACTCCCCTGCCACTGATCACCTCCGGGAACCATCGAGAGAGCATCCAGCTCTATGTCGTCTCCTCGCCCTTGGCCCCTGTTGTGTTGGGCTCTCCCTGGTTACAGCAACATGATCCACAACTGGATTGCAGAACTGCTACCATCTCCAGTTGGAGCGTTCTGTGCCAGGCGGAGTGTTTGCAGTCCGCTGTCCCGGAGAAGAGACGTGGTTCCCGGCGAAATTGGACCTCGCCGCTCCCGAGCGTCGCGGAGGTTCCGAGCCGCTTCCCGTTCCTGTTCCCGAGCGGGTCGACGC